CCACATGCCACTGACGATGTTCGCCCCAGGTGGGGGAACCTTGTCGACGTAGGTGCCTGTGGACTTCCATGAAGCCATCTTTGCGTCCATGGATGTCTGCCACTGAGAAGAGTACTCACCCGAGATCGCTCTCTGTAAGAGCGCGGGGTGGGGATGTCAAGTGCATCCGGGTCTCCCTCAGGGGCAAGCAGCATGGTCGCGAGATGAGGTGCAGCGGCCGCAAGACACTCCATCTCCTCCTGTCTGTCCTCAAGAACGTCACAGCCAAGGGCAACCTCACCCCCGACGGACGGAGGACAGGCATGGTCAGGGTCAGAAACAAGACTCGCAAGGTAGTCTAGGCGGTGCGCAGCAGCAAAGTCATCTAGCTCAGCGACTAAGGCAGACGCAGCAGGAGACGAGAACGTAGGGTCCGTCACAACTGTAGCAAGCAAACGAGTGACAGTCGGACTGGAAGCACGAGCAAGGTCCGACGGAGGGTCAGCAACGTCAGGAAGTGAAGACGCAGGAGGTGACGGTAGGACAACACGCTGTGGAACAGAGGAAGGACGGAGTGTCATATCGTGAGTTCCTGGGACAGCCGGAGCACGAGGACGACGCACACGACGAACACGAGCAGGAACGGAAGCTCTAGTCTCAGGCTCTCGACGCTCAGGAGTGGAAGCACGAGTCTCGGGCTCTCGACGCTCAGTCAAGGACTCTGTCACAGCAGTGTAAGGAGCAGGAGCAGGCAGTGGGGAGTGAGGCAGAAGCTGTGGGAACAGTAACGGAGGAGTAGTACCAACGACTGGGAACTCAGTAGGAGCTGGCGGAAGACCGAGCAGGTGGCGAAGCGCCCCAGCAGGTCCAGCACCTCCAGTACCATCAGTACCTCCAGCACTAGCAGCTCCAGCACCTCCAGCAGTGGTAGCTCCAGCACCTCCAGCACCAGCAGCACCTCCAGCACCTCCAGTACCTCCAGCATTTCCAGCACCAGCAGCACCTCCAGCACTAGCAGCTCCAGTACCTCCAGCACCAGCAGCAGCTCCAGTACCTCCAGCACCAGCAGCACCTCCAGTACCTCCAGGACTAGCAGCTCCAGTACCTCCAGCACCAGCAGCACCTCTAGTACCTCCAGCACCAGCAGCACCTCCAGCACCTCCAGCAGTACCTCCAGCACCTCCAGCACCAGCAGTACCTCCAGGAGTAGTAGCTCCAGCACCAGCAGGACCGTACCCTCCACCACCAGGACTGCCTCGCCGAACGATCCACGCACGAATCGCCTGCGGCGAGAGCGTCTCAAGTAGATCAGGCTGCGGTGGCTGTCCAGCTCCAGCACCTCCAGCAGTGGTAGCTCTAGCACCTCCAGCACCAGCAGCACCCCCAGGCTCAGCACCAGCAGTCTCAGCTCCAGAGTCCACAGCAGCAGGCTGCAGAGGCGGCGAAGACGGCCGAGGCGGAAAACCAGGGGGGGTCTCCAAGCGTGGAGAGCGGTGAGTGGCCGCCATGTCGTCAGCGGCGGGGTCACCCCCCTCAGCTAGGCCAGAGGAGTCAGAAGAGATCTCCAGAGGCTCAACCAAGGGGGGTGGGTCTACCTGAGACACACCTGAGGGAGCAAGACCTTGTGGGGGGAGGGGGTCTACCGGGGGGGGGACTGGTACCAGGAAGAGAGGCGCGAGGGGGACTGGGTGGGACGCGTGCGGGTGTAGCCTGTAGAAACAGACAGACTCGTCAAAGGTGACGTCCTGGGAGGAGAAGACTCGACGCGAGCGCGGGTAGTAGAACTGCCACGGCGGGGCGTCGGTGGGGAAGCCAAGGAAAACGCAGCGGAGAGTGCGAGAGGAGAGCTTGCTCGCTTTGGCATCGCGAACAAGGGAGAACGCGCCCCAGACCCGAAACACCGACGCATCGCCAACCTTCACCGTTCACCAGAGTGTGGGCGAGGTCTCTGGCACAGAGACACGGGGCCAGAGGTTGAGCTGATGCGCAGCGTATCGGACCGCAAACAGCCACAGAAAATGGGGAGCAGCCGCATGGATCATGGAGGTACGAGCAACCTCCATGATCAAGCCAATGCGACGCTCAGCAATCCCATTCTGCTGAGGAGAGGCCGGAAGCGTGAACGTCTGGCGGATGCCCTCGTCTCGACAGAACTCCTCTAGGAGGCCGGAAGAGAACGCACCGCCCCTGTCAGAGTGCAGACGCAGGACTGGCAAGTCCCGACGAAACCGCTCGCGCAGCTGGCGACGAGAAGCACGGATCCAGGGGATCAAGACACCGCTGACGTCCGCCTTGCGCCGCAAGGGGAAGACAGTGGTGTAGCGTGTGTAGTCGTCAACAACCAGCAGGAAGTAGCGCTCCTGGTTCGTTCCACCGACGGGGGCCGGGCCCCACACGTCCATATGGAGAGTCTGCAGAGGAGCAGTGGTCGGAGGAAACTCGGAGGAGTGAGGAGCGGCGCGCTGCCGCCCCTCGAAGCAGGGAAGGCACGGCGGTGTAGGCGAGCGCGGGAGGGAGGGCAGGGACCTGGGAAGCCCAGAGACAAGGAGACGGGAGTGCATGCTGCGGAGACGCGGTAGGGAGGGGTGACCGAGGCGGTGGTGCCAGAGGAGAGTCTGATGAGAGAGTACCCGACACGAGCAAGAGGCTGCAAGCTGACCAGACGGAGACACCCGACTCGACGCAGCCACCTGACCTGACTCAGCCACCTGTGCAGACGCAGTGGTCAGTGTGTACAGACCGGACCCAGGCTGACGAGTGAATGTAGCAAGGTGACGGCCAGTCCGTGAGCACGTACAGATCGCCACACGCTGTCCTCCAGGAATGAAGGTGTCAACCCATACATCCTGGAGAACTGCGTTGCTCAACAAGTTCGTCGAGAACGCGGGGAGGTGGAGACCTGAGAGAGATCCGGAGGGGACTGCCGGACACGGGAGGACAGTGGAGGCTCGCGCAACTACTGGGCCCCCAGTGGGGTCAGCCAGTGAGACTGGGACAGGTGCTGCGAGTGGTGTGACTGTGGTGCAATCACGAAAGAAGCAACGTGACGCGCCTGAGTCAAGTGTGAAAGTGTGCAAGGCCTCAGCTGAGGCAGGACCTGTGGCAGTAGCACTAGCACCTAGAGCGTGGGCAGACTCACGCGCACCGAGAGCTGCAGCAGACTCACTAGCACCTGGAGCGGCAGCAGACTCACTAGAACTGAGAGCAGCAGCCTCTACACACCCAGGGACGCCTCGCTGAGGAACAAAGTCGCGACGCCGCTGCGGGGAGAAGGTCTCCTGCTGACGCCGCTGCCGCCGCTGTCCAGTATACATAAAACCAAAACCTCCACCACCTGGACGGCCCCGCTGAATAACCCACTCACGAAGCTGCTGAGGGGTGGGGTTGTCCGGGAGAGGCAGTGACCGCTGCTGTCCACCCCTAGCCGCTGCAACTACCGTGATAGTGGCCATGACAGGCAGTGACGGTCAGTAGCAGGTCCAGCACCTCCAGCACCAGCAGCACCTCCAGCACCTCCAGCATTCCCAGCAGCACCTCCACCAGCAGCAGCAGTAGCACGAGCAGCAGCAGCAGTAGTAGCAGGAGGGCGGCTCGGTGGGGTTGGCGAATGAGGCAGGGCGGCTCGGCTCGGGTTGAGCAGCGCGGCTCGGGCTGGGCGGCGCGGCTCGGCAGGGCAGGGCGCGCCTCGGGCTGCAGGGCAGCGGGGCGCGCGCTGGACAGGGCAGCAGGGCGCGCGCTGGGCAGGGCAGTAGGGCGCGACGTGCTGGGCTGCAGCAGGGCGCGACGCGCGGGCTGCAGCAGGGCGCGACGCGCGGGCTGCAGCAGGGTGCGGCGCGCGGGCTGCAGGGCGCGACGCGCGGGCTGCAGGAAGGCGCGACGCGCGGGCTGCAGGAAGGCGCGACGCGCGGGGCTGCAGCAGGGCGCGACGCGCGGGCTGCAGGGCGCGACGCGCAGGGCAGTGGGGCGCGCGTTGGGCAGGGCAGCAGGGCGCGACGCACTGGGCTGCAGGGCAGGGCGGTGCGCGGGCCTAAGGGCAGGGCAGCGCGGCTCGCGAGCTGCAGGGCAGGGCGGCGCGCGGGCCTAAGGGCAGGGCAGCGCGATGCACGGGCTGCAGGGCAGCTGGGCGCGGGCTGCAGGGCAGGGCGGCGCGCGCTGGGCAGGGCAGCAGGGCGCGATTCGCAGGCAGCAGCAGGGCGCGACGCGCGGGCTGCTGCATGGGGAGCGCGCTAGGGTAGGCAGTGCGAATAGCTGCAGGGCAGCTCGACACTGTGCGAGCAGGGCCAGACAGCGCAGGGGCGCTTCGGGCAGGAACTAGCGGAACTATCGGTGGGCCCTAAAAATCTAACAGGTTTCCTGCTCTGAATACCATGTCAGAATCAACTGTGCATGAATGAATGAACTATGAATGAGTTGGGTACAAGTACCAACCCTAAAGTGTTGAACCCCTTGTAGGCTAACCCACTATAGCCTAGAGAGAACACAAACATATAGTTTGACAATTTTGACACTACTCACTACCACCAACACAGGAATTCCAGTCTTCCGCTGCAATATTTACTAAGCACAAGTCTTTAAAAGATCCTAAGGCTCCACCTCAGCCCAACAAAGATGAGCAGAAGCGCGGACCTAACCTAACTGATAACATGTCAAAACCGGAATGTGTGCACTTCATGCATTTAGGATACAAATAGTCAGCCCTAACTTAGACTACCACATGTAACAGGCTAGTGTAACAAGTACAGTTTATCACTCTAACCAATTTGAGGCATTGAACGCAGCATTTGCCTTGCATTGATGAAAGTGCGATATTTGTGTACGATGCTTACCACTGGCCATGCTTCTTGCTCATTGACTAAGAATATTACCTTGTGGGTGATGGTTTCACACTCGTGCGTGTGCTGATTTTAGGTGCATACGTGAGGAAAACGGCAAGAATGCGAGGGGGATTCACAATTGCTCAAAATCTTACATACGGTATCCGCATTGAATATTAAGTAGGCTAAACAAGATAGTTCCACATTCTACTCCCACTTCTCAGCAACGAGGTTAGCGAGGTCAACAACGCGCTGGGAATAGCCCCACTCGTTGTCGTACCATGCAACGACCTTCACCATATCGTCACCCATAACCATGGTCAAGGATGCGTCGATCGTGGAAGACACGTCTGAGCACCTGAAGTCAACCGACACAAGAGGCTCGTCGCACACCGCAAGAACACCCTGCAGAGAAAATAGAGAGCATGAATATCCGTACTGAAGAGAGTACATAATGCAGCGTCTCATTATGAAAGTTACCTTGAGTGGGCCGTTGGCGGCCTCACGGAAGGCTGCGTTGACCTCCTCGGCGAAAGTCTTCTTCTCGGTTTGGATGACCAGGTCAACAATAGAAACGTTGGGAGTGGGCACGCGGAGAGCGATACCGTTCAGCTTCCCCTTCAGCTGCAAGATAAAACACATGAATATCGAGTGAGTACTCGTAGAATGAACACATGGGAGTACCCCGCATTTAATCGAAGAGCTTCTTACGTTGGGAAGCACGAGGGCGACGGCCTTCGCAGCACCAGTCGAAGTTGGCACAATGTTAAGAGCAGCCGCACGAGCACGACGAAGGTCACGGTGAGAAGCATCCAGAAGACGTTGGTCACCAGTGTACGAGTGGGTGGTAGTCATGGTACCCTTCACAATTCCTGCACCACCACCAGATGTTGGACATGTTACTCCCTTGCAAAACATTAGGCTGTCCAACCAACGCGCAAGGTCCATTTACTCACCGAACTTCTCATCCAGGACCTTGACGAAGGGAGCGAGGCAGTTGGTGGTGCAAGACGCGTTGGAAATGATGGCGTCGGCGTGCGTGTACTGGTCAGCGTTGACACCAATCACGTACGTCGGGATGGCACCCTTGCCAGGAGCAGTGATGAGCACCTTCTTGGCACCTGCCTTGATGTGCTTGCCAGCACCCTCGTTATCGATGAAAACACCGGTTCCCTCGATGACGAGGTCAACGCCCAGCTCCCTGCGAAACCATGAAGCAACTCTTAGATAACAGGCTTGCCATTGCCATTTTATGACCTGGTCAGAATGAGAGGTGTAAGCTTACCCCCACGGCAGGTTCAGAGGGTTGCGGTCGGACACAATCTTGATCTCCTTTCCATCGACGGAAATCGCCTTGTCGTTGACGACCTTCACGTCAGCCGCGAAGGTGCCGAGCATGGAGTCGTACTTCAGCAGGTGGGAGGCCTGCTTCACTCCGCCAGAGTCGTTGATGGCAACAATCTCGAGAGGAGAGTCTTCCCTTCCGTGCCAGCAGCGGACGAAGTTGCGGCCAATACGTCCAAACCCATTGATGGCCACCTTGATCTTGGCCTCAGCAACTGCGCGGGTGGCAGAAGCGGGAGCCTGCACAGCAACTGACAATGCTTCAGCAAGTAGAAACCAGGGAGGGAAACACGCAAGATAGTCAACCATCCTCACCGCAGCAGTCTGAGCGCCGACACGAGCAATGAAGTCCTCGGACTTCTTGCCAAAAGAGGCCACATTGGTGCTCTTCAAGCCATCAAAGTCGCCAAAGCCCTTGGACACAGCCTACGCACGAAAGAGGAACGAATGTTTAGACTTCGAAGACCAAAGCTCGCAATGGGAAGGGCTGAATACAGCAGCAAGCTACCTGGGCAGGGGTGACGAACTTGGCAGACACAGCTGACGCAGCCATGGTTAGATATTCCGAAGATGGATGACAGGAGCTAACCAACGATGCAGTTGACGATTATGGGGCTGGAGCAGTTATAACTGCCGCACGGGGGACTCAGTTGCACCAAGAATTTGTGCTCCCATCCCAGTCAGCTCGATTGTCCACTTTCCACCACTGCCTCAGGAGCCTCACAACCTGATGCGTCACTGATCACACCTGGGTCAGCCAAGCCCGAGACTTGAGGTGGAAATCGCCTAGTGAAAATGACCTGGCATCCGATTCACTTTACCACATGCAATCTTGATTCGTTCAAACCAGATAAGCAAGCACTTGTTGTAGCGATCTCTCCACGTAGGCTCAGTCCGTTCCTCGTGGCCATTACTTTTCACGTCTCTATCTGCCACGAACACAATTCCACTTTTGGTTTCTGGTTACTTCCTTCTTAACGGATGGTACCATACACTTTAATTGAATCTTACTCGACACAATATGCATCTTGAACAAAACTTTTGTAGACCAGCCAATCCTCCATATCCGTGGCCTTCAGGTCAAAACTCCTGAAGTGCTCTAGGGTCTCTCAGCCATGGCTTCTCTCAGAAGATTTAACAGCGTTAATGTCAAACTAAACTAGATCCATACCGGCATTTGCATACATTATCAGGACCTACATCATGGTCCAACTTTTCATTTTGCTGGATCTGTTTCCAATAATTACATCATGGTATATTCATATGTATTAAGAACAATAGGAAAGGGACGTAATTAGTAATCACAAGCAAAATGAACAGTTGGACCTTCACAGTTTGATTTACCGAGTTACACTCCGAGTGGTTTTGCGGATGGCTGAAAAACATAGCAACAAAGCAAACTTGTACTAAAAATATGCAAGAATTCAACATTTGAGAATCACTAATGTTACGAATAGTAAATTATGAAAAGAACACTGTGCACTCCTGACAGTAACAATCGAGTCACACAGTAAGGAGAATGAAGATCAGGGCCTCAGATTGGTTTTGGGCTAGGCTGAAAGATCAGAGTTGGTACAAAACCTAATGCTGAAAATCGGACAAATTAGCCATTGTATGCCATTTTACACTACAAATCTCACACATTTTCCTGTTCTTTCCCCAAAAATTGCTGAAATATCAGCCTCAGTTCTAAAATAAGTCTGAAATCTCAGCCTTTTTAACCTAAATCAGCCTTTTTTCGTTGACTTCTGAGGCCCTGATGAAGACGAAGAGGTAGAATGACGCGAAGAGTCGCGTACGGTTACGAAGCATCTGGACCGTCAGGGCAGACAGCACCAGGCAGCAGCAGTGGCGAGGATTCTGCCGGAACAGTTCGTAACCGTCTGGAGTCGAACGATTGGTTTTCGATGCATTAAGGGAATGTACCCCTTAGAGTACATGGCTAGCTAGGTCGTTTCGTATTCCCTTGTAATATTATTTATACGAATGCATTTGCACGTGTTTATTATCTCAGTCATTTTATATTCACGCTGATATGAGGTGAAGGGCCCACCACTACCACACACACTGCGAACCTTCCTGAGGTGATCCTACGCACGATATATATTTTGATCGCAACATGGTATGAGAGCGACTCAGGGAACCTTCGCGTTGCCACCTCCAAAAACATCGGCGAACTAAGGTGGCGTCCGGCACACGCTCACGCGTAAGGATGGCCGGAGGATCTGGAGGTCAGACGAATCTGACGGCTGAAGCGCAAGCCAACTCGGCTGCGACAAACGATGAGACGACGACGATCGGCATCGCCGCCCTCGCACAACTGCTTCAGCGACTCCCAACTCTGGAGCAAGGACTCCATACATTGCGGAATGGCGACGCGAGAACATCTTCCCAACCCTCTCAACCGGCTGCAACGGCCACGATACTGCCCCGCACACTTTCTCCCTCAACACAAATGGCTCAACACCCAAGACTCCCCGTCCCAGCGATGAAGCAATTCTCTCCGCTCAATCAAGCGTGCTGAAGGCGCCAGGAGCCGCACGCACATCACGCTGAACGATGTGCTAATCGCCCAGAATCTTCGTTTCAACCTCCTCTCGGCGGCTCAACTCATGGATTGCGGAGTCGAGCAAAGCACGGACCTTCAAACTGTTAGAATAAGCACGCAGAAATGGCGGACTAGGTAGCATGCATGAGTACAAGTACCTAACCCTAAAGTGTTGTACCCCTTGTAGGCTAACTCACTATAGCCTAGAGAGAACACAAACACATAGTTTGACACACCCCCATAGGCTAAGTGGGAGATAGCAAACACAACAGACGGTCACAAGACCAGTCAAGCAAGAGAACAAGCAAAGCAAAGCAAAGCTCAGGGTGGATCTCAAGGACACCACACAATCTGAGCACAAGCAAGCGGCCACAAGGCCAGTTCACATGCAGAGTTATAATAGCAAGGCAATACACTGATCACAACCTAGCAAGAGTAAACAAGCAGGTATAAAGATATATACCAGAGTACAACAAGAGCAAGTCAAGCAACCAGCAGGTGAGGCAGAGTGGGCACAAGCCCAAGAGCAGTGCAGAAACGGTGATGATAACCAGACCCAAGGGCCTTGGTGAAGACATCAGCAGTGTTGGCCCGATAGGCCACATAAGCAAGGCGCAGCTGACCACGCTGCTGCAGCTCACGCGCAAGGAAGTAGCGAAGAGCAATGTGCTTCGTTCTGTGCTCCAGTCTCTGCTCGCGACACAAGGCAAGCATTGCCTTGTTGTCGACGTACAGAACTGGAGGAGAACGAGGCCGCTCCCCCAAGTCGGTCAGCAGGTAGGTCAGCCGGCGTAGCTCCTGTGTAGCCATGGTCCCAGCGTAGATCTCGGCCTCGCAGCTGGAGCCAAGCACAGAAGAAGAACGAGTGGACCTCCACGAGATAGAACCAGAGCCAAGACTGAAGGTGTAACCCTGTGACGAACGCTGAGTCGTCTGGTCGTCGGCCCAAGAAGCGTCAGAGTGTCCTGTGAGTACCACTGAACCCCGTCCTCCAAGCACGAGCCCCATGCCCGACGTACTGCACAAGTAACGCAGTACCCACTTCGCAGCATCAAAGTGCACCTTTCGGTGTCTACCGGGAGCCACGTAGCGAGCCAGGAGGCTGAGAGGGTACGCGAGGTCAGGTCGTGTGCACGTCATCAGGTACATGAGGCAACCCACAAGCTCTGGGTACGGACCACTTGGCTCTACGGACTCGTCCGAAGGTGGAGCTGAGAGCGAGTGGCCGGTAGACAGAGGAGTGGGCTGTGGCGAGGACCACGTGAAGCCGAAGCGCTGAAGGACCTGCTGCACAATGTGTGACTGAGTCAGGGTGATGGTGCGTCGTGCTCTGTCCCGGGTGATCTGCAAGCCAAGATAGCTCCGCAACTCACCCAGGTCAGTGCAGGTGTGTCTCTCCTGCAGCTCCGCCTTCACTAGGGCCAGTGCCTCAGTGTCAGCAGTAGCAAAAACCAAGTCGTCGACGTACACGAGGATGTAGAACGCCGGCAGAGTAGTGTCGGTGCGTAGAAACAGCGACGGGTCAGCAGTCGAAGGAGTAAACCCAAGAGCCGCAAGTGTCGTCCTCAGTGTGTCGTGCCACTCGCGGGGCGCCTGACGCAGGCCATACACAGGTCGCCGTAGGCTCCACTGGGTACCCTCAGGAAACGACCCAGTGAAGCCCTCTGGAAGGCGCAACCAGATGGCCTCGTGAAGGCTACCCTGCAAGAAAGCTGTCGAGAAGTCGAGGGAGTGCAGCTCGTAGTCACGCTGAGCTGCAACGTGTAGCAACACTTGAAGAGTGGTCATCTTCGGGGTGGGGGAGAAGGTCTGAAAGAAGTCGACTCTAGCACGCTGACTGAAGCCTCGAGCAACGTAACGTGCCTTGAAGGCAGGCGGAGAACCCTGCGGCCGCTTCACCCTGAAAATCCACATGCCACTGACAATGTTCGCCCCAGGTGGGGGAACCTCGTCGACGTAGGTGCCTGTGGACTTCCAAGAAGCCATCTCTGCGTCCATGGCTGTCTGCCACTGAGAGGAGTACTCACCTGAGATCGCCTCTCTGTAAGAGCGCGGGGTGGGGATGTCAAGTGCATCCGGGTCTCCCTCAGGGGCAAGCAGCATGGTCTTGAGATGGGGTGCAGCGGCCGCTAGACACTCCAGCTCCTCCTGTCTGTCCTCAAGAACGTCACAGCCAAGGGCAGTACAGCCAAGGGCAGTCTCACCCCCGACGGACGGAGGACAGGCAGGGACAGGGTCAGAAACAAGGCTCGCAAGGTAGTCTAGGCGGTACACAGCAGCAAAGTCAACGAGCTCAGCGACTAAAGCAGACGCAACAGACGAGAACGAAGGGTCAGTCACCACCGTAGCAAGTAAGCGAGTAACAGTCGGACTGGACGCACGAGCAAGGTCAAACGGAGGGTCAGCAACGTCAGGAAGAGAGGACGCAGGAGGTAACGGCAGGACAACACGCTGTGGAACAGAGGAAGGACGGAGTGTCATATCGTGAGTGCCTGGGACAGCCAGAGCACGAGGACGATGCACACGACGCACACGAGTACGGACAGCGGCACTAGGCTCGGGCTCAAGGTCAAAGCTAGACTCAGGTTCTCGACGCTCAGGGGTGGAAGAACGTGTCTCAGGCTCTCGACGCTCAGACAGGGACTATGTCACCGCAGTGTAAGGAGCAGGAGCAGGCAGTGGGGAGTGCGGTAGGAGCGGAGGCTGAGACTGGTCTGCCGGTGGAAACAGTAACGAAGGAGTAGTACCTGCCACTGGGAAGACAGTAGCACCTGGCGGAAGACTGAGAAGGTGGCGAAGAGCACTAGCAGCTCCCGGACCTCCAGCACGAGCAGCTCCTCCAGTACCCCCAGCAGGACCTCCAGCACCAGTAGCACCAGCACCTCCAGCACCACGAGCTCCGGCAGCGCCAGCACCTCGAGCACCAGGAGTACCTCCAGCACCTCCAGTGGCTCCAGCTCCAGCTCCAGCGCCTCCAGCACCAGTAGCACCAGCACCTCCAGTGC